CCTTAGTAAACACTAATAGTGAAATCTTTATTGCCTAGCAGTTACTTGACAAAAGAGAAATTATTTCTTCTTAGGAAGGTGCTAAGCGGGGTTCTGTGGCTTTTTGTGAGACGTCAGCAGGATGCACAGAATTGATCACGCATTAAAGTGCCCGTTCAAACAGTGATGCCGCTCTCCGCCAGTCATTACTCTTGTTAAAGGATGCTTTCCAGCTGTTCGCGCTCGCTCTCCACTCACTCAAACACAAATACACACACACACACACACACATATGAACTCACAATGCGCGCACCTGTGCAGGAGCTCAATAGCGCGGATCGATGGGGTTTGATTGAGTGGGACTGCAGTCCAAGGTTTGAGTCAAGATGACAGATGAGGTAGCCGTAAGCAAATGAAGGTCACACGGGTGAATTGGATGTTTCTGCGTGTGTGTGTGTGGCCACACACTAGCCAAGAAGGGGGTCAGAATATCAAATATCTCGCTCCATTCCATCCTGCTTCAGACTGGCACATCATCTATCAGTGTGGCAGGAGGGCACACTGCCGCCTGTCTGAGTGTCAGAGGGTGCGACCACACATAACCCCTTCATCACGCCAGTCCTGTCCTGGGGGAAGCTATACAGCAGTTACATACCTGATAGATATCATCCTTTATTGAAGTGGAAATGTGTTTTTTAAAACTGTTTTAATATGCAGATGCTCATTCTCACACTTGTCTGTGTGGAATTCAAACCAGTGTCAACCCCCTAAAGTCATAACTACTTTCCGGGTCACGGCACCAATTTCATTTCTCCAACTCAGACCACCTTGAAAGATATTTGAACCACTGTCAAACAGAGTTTGTGTTTGTGTGTGTCTGTATGTGAATCATATATAGACAGAATGCCCCCAAAAAAATTTAAGCCAATTTGCCACCTTTTACTGTTATAATATATATATTATATATATTTTTTTTACCTGGATTTGCATAACATATGGCACTTTTCCCAGAGGACTGCATTCAAAAACAAATTGTACTGTGGTATACAAGTCAATGAAACCAACATCAGTTGCATCAGAATTCTGTAATATACGGATCATTTTAGCATATACATTAAAGCTTGTGTTTAAATGTCTTTGTGTGTGTGTGTGTTTGTGTGTGTGTGTGTGTGTGTGTGTGTGTGCGTGTGTGTGTGTGTGTGTGTGTGTGCGTGTGTGTGTGTGTGTGTGTGTGTGTGTTTTTGCTTTTTCTTTTATTTTCCTTTCTTTCTTTTTTTTTTTGTTTTTTTTTTTTGTTTTTTAACTCCCCAAGAGTTACACAGTCAAAATATTTTTTTAAAAATATAATCGATTCAGCCAATTTCCAGGGGCCTCATGTACGAAGACTTGCGTGGAAATCTTACTAAAACATTGCGTACGCACAAAGCTGTAAATGTGCGTACGCAGAAAAAAATTCAGATGTATGAAACACTGCGTACGCCGAATCTCACGCATATTCTTTTGTACATCTGAATGAACGTGAAACTGAGCGCAACATGCACGAGCACAAAACCCCTCCCTGCCTCTTCCCCCGTATGAATATGCTAATGACTATGCTAATGTCAAAACCCAACGAAAAAGCAACGGCAAAATCAAGCAAAAAGAGAAACTTTGAACAGAATGTGAATTGGAGGTGCTGCTTTCGGAGGTAGACCGGAGAAAAGCGGTGTTATTTGCAAGTTTGTTCTCCAGAATTAACAACAAAAGAAAAAAATAGAGTGGGAGAGTTTAGCTGATACGGTTAACACAGTTGGGTCTGAACATCGCACTGAGTGCATTTAAAAAAAGAAATAGTGTGGTTTATAACTGAAAAATGTTGCAGTACCCTTAGCAGTCTCAGTGGCGCACCTCATAAGAAGCATGTGATCATGTACTGACATGTTCGAGCATAAACTCGGCTCGAATCCAGCGTCTAATAAATTCTTTCTTTTTTTCCCCGCTACATATCAGATTTTGCCCACTATTTATCAAGAGAAAGACAAGTAGGAATCATCAATAAGTTTGTGCATCATATTTTATATGCACATTTATTGAATGGAAATGTTTCTGATTCACGCATGCAAATTCATCTTCAGATAGTGTCTTTATAGCAATGTGCGTGCGGTAGATCGCTCAGATTACATTGGGAAAACAGGCGACCGCTCCAAATTGTGCTTTAATGTTTAGCTGGTCAACTGTATGGTATGGAAATCTTACATACCTACTATATGAACCCGTCTCATACAGCTGCCATTACAAGGATCAGACACTTTGTAGAGAAGAATTTAATACAACTGCCTCTAGGAGTCGCCAATGGAAATAAAACAGTTACGCACAAAAAATGTGCGTACGCCTGCCAGAAAGCTGCCGTGAACCTGCGCACATTCCCACGTTCAGTTCATTGTTAGTAAATCCAAACGTGAGCGATTCTGAGCGTGAAACCTGGCGTACGCAAAGTTTTTGTGCGTACGCAGCGTTGATACATGAGGCCCCAGGTCTGGTGTGAGCATTTTTAGCTTAGTTTAGCATAAATTGTTGAATCAGATTAGATCTTTAGCATTTTGCACAATTAAAAAATAATAATAAATAAATAAATAAATAAATAAGAATTTAGATTATTTTCCTATTTAAAACTTGACTCTTCTGTAGTAACATCATGTATTAAAAGTTGCTATTGTCTAGGTCATTTAAATTATACTCTCATTCTGATGTAATAATCAAGGTACTTTGCTGTCATACTATGCCTGCAGCAGGCACAATGATATTATGCAGCACCTGAAAATAGTCCCGATCTTTATAACTAGGTAACAGCACTGCGTAATGTAATTAAATAAAAAGGTAGTGTTCCTTTAAGTAAGCAGAGTTTAAATTACACAGACCACAACACTGACATGACAGAACAGGTTAAGTCCCAAAACATTCCAAGTATGTGGCTGGAAATGCTTATAGCTATGCAAATCCTCATTTTATATGTATTAAGGCTGTGTCAGAATGCAACTGAGAAATTGAATGTGCTGCAGTGTCAGCAGAATATTTGTCTTATTTAGATCTCTTTCAGGTCAGCTATTGTATTGGTGGAGATCTTCACTGTATAAGAACAAAGCTAAAGAATAGACTGCATCCTAGGACTTTAAAAATATTTTTGAAAACTAGATTACAAACTCTTCAAGTCATTGCAACAACACTCTCACATAGGGGTAAGTTAGCAGTAGTAGATGACTCCTAAATAACAAGATGTTGATTAAATCACTAAACTGAGTGGTGAGGTTTGCAAATGCCAAAGTATTGTATGAATGCACATGAAATATGATCAATAAGCTTACATTTAGAATGAGTTGTGAAGGTATTCATATCTTTATCTATATAAAACATCTAAATGTGTTATTTAAACCCTAGTGTGATTATTTGTTTAATACTCTTAAAGTACCTCATTATTGAGGGGCATTTCCATTGAATTATTATAATTGTATATTATTATATATACATATATATAGTTGAAGTCAGAATTATTAGCCCCCCTGAATTATTAGACTGTTTGTTTATTTTTTTCCCCAATTTCTGTTTAACGGAGAGCAGATTTTTTCAACACATTTCTAAACATAATAGTTTTAATAACTCATTTCTAAAAACGTACTTAATTTATATTTCCCATGATGACAGTAAATAATATTTGACTAGATATTTTTTTAAAACACTTTTATACATCTTAAAGTGACATTTAAAGGCCTAACTAGGTTAATTAGGTTAACTAGGCAGGTTTGGGTAATTAGGCCAGTTATTGTATACTAAAGGTTTTTTTCTGTACACTATCGAAAACAAATATAGCTTAAAGGGGTTAATAATTTTGTCCTTAAATTGGTGTTTAAAAAAAATTAAAAACTGCTTTTATTCTAGCAGAAATAAAACAAATAAGATTTTTTTCAGAAGAAAAATATTTCCAAAATATCCATTCAGCCAATCTAAACATCTGGCCGTAGCACATTTAGCTTAGCTTAGCATAAAACATTAAATTAGATTAGACCATTAGCATCACGCTTGGAAAAAAAGAGAGATTTGATCATTTTGCTATTTTAAGCTTGACACTTCTGTATTTATGTTGGGTACTAAGAGCAACGGATTAACTAAATGAAATGTTGCCATTTTTTAGGCTGATATGTACAGGTATATGAACTAGCGTAATAAAATAGCATAATAAACAAGGAACCCTGCTGTTGTGCCATAGCTGCAGAAGCACAATGATATCACAATGCGCTCCTACCTAATTACCAAGCAAGGGACTATTTTCAGGTGCTGTGTAGTATGATTACATGATAAAGCAGCAATGTTCCTTGATTATTACGCCACAATGAGAGTATAGTTCCAAGCCAAATCGGGCTAGCAAATAACCCTTTTTCATCAGTTTTAGCACACAACGCTACAAAAACTACAAAACCACAAAAAAAAGTTAAGATTTAAATAGGAAAATTATTTTAACACTTTTTTTGTTTTGAGTTTTTGTGACAAGATGCTAATGGTCTAATCCAATTTAATGAGTAATGCTAAGCTAAGCTAGGCTAAAAGTGCTTCCACCAAACCAAGAGATCAGCTGAATGGATTCAAAAAAGGTCAAACTCAACTGTATAACACAAGGGGATGCAAAATGAGCCTATTTACAAAATAAGTGGAGTGTTTCTTTAAAGTAAAAAAGGTATATTAGGAACTTCATGTAATTCCAGCATTATTTGTTCCAAAATATATACAAAGGAAGCAAATGTATTTGAATAAATAGAATAGAGTTCACTAATTCAGATTTTGCTCTACCACTGAAATGTACCATTAGTTTTCAGCTGACTGGACCTCTTAGAAGTCATTAGTAGGAAGCCTAATTACTTATAAATGTGTATTTATGTAGAATGCATTATGTATTCTTTGATTCATCTTGTAATGGATGTGCGCTGCGGTTCTCTAATGAGCTTGACCGTTTCGAGAAGGGCTTGACTGTGTGCTGAGATTGCTCTACTTACTGAGAGTAGTTTCCATGTGATCGGGCGCACCTGCCGTGGAATTCCAGACCAGCTCAACTTCCGAAGCTCCTCTGAGAAAAGAAAAGTTTTTTTTTATTAGACAGAAAGTCACAGCCAAAGGTGATAGAATGAGTTTGTTCATTGTGAAATTACTGAATTATTAATAATCAGTTCCTTTCCTGAATTTCTTTTTCCAAAACCCTTTTTCCCCTCAAATAACCTAATGCATAAATGATCAGTAAACAGCAAGGAATCGAATGTTCGAATATAAAAAAGTAATTAATCTTTACTGTCTCCTAGAATTTCATAGACTTATTATAGTTCTGTCTCAATCAAGATCCCACCATTTGCATGTGTTTGTGAATTATGTCAGAGAATCAATATGTAACATTTTAATTAGATAGCAAAAATGTACATACTTATATATATGAAAAAGCTTTGTTATGGATGTGAATCTCTCCGTTATGGATGTGACAGATGTCAACGTGCCACTAGTGTGATTTTGGTAAATCAAATATAATTGTTTGAGAACATTGACAGATGCATTTTTGAGTATTTTTAAAGCACTGTAAAATACAAGCCTACACAAACAACGCAACAACGGTTTTGCTATTTTGGCGAAAACTTTTTTTCATGGCAAGGTTGACATTTGCCTGAAACATATATATATATATATATATATATATATATATATATATATATATATATATATATATATATATATATATATATATATAAATAAAATGTCCAGCGATATTAAACCAATTAAGGATAGACTTATTTATTTTATTTCAGCTAGAATATTTTTTTTTTTTTATTACATATAACATTTATATATATATATATATTAGGGTTGTCAAGATACCATTAGTTCATCTTACGATACTAGTATTGTGATTCTGTTAATCAGAACTCAAATTATAAAGAAAATTTACAGAAATACTATATTTTACATGTTATGTTGAATTTAATTCATAATTCCCTTATTATTCAAAAGTATTATTTGCATGTCACTTCATCTAAAATTTATTCTTTTCTGGGTTTTTGTAGATAACTGACCTAAATATTAAAAAATAAATTGAAGACACAAATTATACCAAATAAAACTTGGCACAAAAACAGATTTTTTTAACAACATTAGGCTATATGAAGTGGTCAAAAATTGTTTCAATGTTGCCATTTTGGGTTTTTCATCTAATGAAAAGAAATTTATATATGGAAAATGTGTTGTGTGTGATAATGAAATGACACAAGGAGAAAGTACTGAACTACTAAAATGTATTTAATGCTTTATATAAAAGCCTTTTTGGTGATGGTAGGTTAAAGACGCCTCTCATGTGGAGAATAAAGTCACATGCATTACTCTGGTGTAATTTTATTTTTTTTTTCACAGACTTCAACGGTGTAAAAATCTTGATGGTTCTGTGGGTTTTATCCATCCAAACTGATCTTTATATTGCATTTTCTATTGGTTTTAAGTCAGGGTATTAGATAAGCCATTCTGCAACTTGATTTTCTTTCTCTGAAAGCATTTGAGAGTTTCATTGGCTGTGTTTTGGATCGTTGTCTTGCTGAAATATGAACTCTGGTTTCATCTTCATCATCCTGAAAATGTAGATGTTGGACTGAAGCAGCTTTTATTAAATTTACAATGAGAAAGGGCAGAGGGTTGCAGAAGAACTCCTCAGCGATTTCAGCTGCTGTCTGGGCTTTCCCTGCCATTCTACACCTTCCTTTCTTCATGCGTTCAATACTTTTCCCTGTGTCATTTTATTTTATTATGCATAACTTAATTTGTAAACTAATTAGATCTGTTTTGTTTTCATGTATAGATTTACTTTGTTGTTACCAACATTATGGAAAAATTCCAAGTCAAAGGCACCCTTAGATATGTGTTTTCTGAAAACAAAAGGATGACATTTTCAATACTTACTGTATGTAAACACTAACACACACATTTCCCCAAGAAGTTACATCAAATTGCTAATTACATATAACTGTGGACTAATTATTGCTGTTTCAAAACCACTTGGCTACAAACACTCTAACCAGTATTCACCAGTTAGTAAACTATTCTAATGTAAACGTATTTGAATAGCATTTTTCTCCCCTAAAAGTCCACTAAAAGAGAACCAGTTGTTCATATCCTTAGCTCAGTCAAAGCTGCCAAGTTAGTGGAAATTGTTCAGTTGTTCTGCATTCAATACAATTGCTTATGAGGAGAAATAAATAAATGAATGGTTCATTCATGAAATGTATATATAACAAATACATGGTTTCACCAACGACAAGTTCAAACAAGAAAATACGCTATTAATACATGATTACTTCACCGCTATTAAACCATATTTAACAAGCAATCATTTACAATGCACTAATCTAGCATGTATAATAATGCAAATAGCATGCAAAACAGGACTCTGCAGCATTTGAATTCCATGAGCAAACTGTGCTTTCAATAAGCACTGCAAAAGCACGCATTGGCGAACCCAAGAGTGCTAACGTGAATAAATCTCAGTGAGGCAAATTGGACTTTTAAAATGGACAAAGAGTCCCAGCAGAGCCTTAAAAGAGTGAAAAAGCACTTTAATACCAAATATTTCTCATTTCGTATCAGTATTGCATATTTCAAGGGTTGATGGCAGCGATCATAATGCGCTGAACGTGGATTAGTCATTTCTCAGAGCCTTGACAACAGGCTGCAGTGTAATGTGCATACATTTTATTTGACATCAAAGATAAATCTAAATTTTAAATCAGAGGTTGCTAAAAAAAAAATCATACAATAGACGAAATGCGCCATGAATACAACACGAGCCTTCTGAGGAAAAATCTTTGTTTTTTTTTTTTTTTAAGAAATAACCTTTCTGAAATCAGACCTGGAGGTTCTTGTGCAGTTTCTTTGTCAGGGCAAAATGAAGACTGAAGCTGATGAATAACAGTGTTGTTATGATGACCGCCCATGCAAATACTATTAAAATATAAATATGCTTGATTATTTGCACATCACTCATTGTTATTGATAGCAAAATTACATTTACAGACAGTATGTTGTTGGGTATTTTGAACTCTTAACACATAAATAAGGACCAAAACATGCAGTGAGTAAATAAGCACCTTAATAAGTACAATAAATGATAAAAGGAACAATTACACTTTCTATTCGCTTTTTACTAAACGAAAAGAACAGCTTAAACATACTTTAAAAGTACTCTTTCTTTCACTTTTACGGCAAAAAGGTCATCATACAAGCTTGAAAAAACAGGAAGGTTAGTAAATGAAGACAATTCTACTTTCCATTTGCTTTTCACAACAACTACAAGAGCAGCCTGAACATTCTTCAAAACTACTCTCTTTCACTTTTACAGCTGAAAAGTCATCATACAGACTTTAAAAACAGGAAAGTTAGTAAATGAGGACAATTCTACTCTGCATTTGCTTTTCACTACACTAAAAAGAGCAACCTGAACATACTTCTCAACTACTAATTTTCACATTTACAGCTGAAAAGTCATCATACAGGCTTAAGGTTAGTAAATGAAGACAATTCTACGTAACATTTGCTTTTCACTACAAACTAGCGCCTGAAGTTTTTAGTTTTAGGCTAAAAAGTCGTCATACAAGCTTGAAAGAACAAAAAAACAGAAAAGTTAGTAAATTAAAACAATTCTACTTTCCATTCACTTTTTACAACAGCTACAAGAGCAGTCTGAACATCCTTCAAAACTACTCTTTTTCACTTTTACGGCTGAAAAGTCATCATACAGACTTTAAAAAACAGGAAAGTTAGGAAATGAAGACAATTCTACTCTGCATTTGCTTTTCACTACACAAAAAAGAGCAACCTGAACATACTTCTCAACTACTAATTTTCACATTTACAGCTGAAAAGTCATCATACAGGCTTTAAAAAATCTGCAACTTTAGTAATTTAAGACAATTCTACTTTACATTAGTTTTTCTCTACAGCAAACAGAGCAGCCTGAGCATACTTCAAAACTATTTTTTTTCTTCTTTTTTACAAAAGAAAACCGAATCGACCAAACAAAATTATATTTTAATTGAACACATCACAAAAGGTACACATAGAGTACCGTCATATCTAGTATTGTGAAAAGGCAAAGCAGAAAATCTATAGCTTTTTACTACAGCAAATAGAGCAGCCTGAACATACTTCAAAACTACTCTTTTTCCCTTTTACGTCTGAAAAGTCTTCATACAAGCTTGAAAAAAACAAAAACAGGAAGGTTGGTAAACACAGACAATTCTACTTTCTATTTGCTTTTGATTACAGCAAAAACAACATGCTTCAAGACTTCTCTTTTTCACGTTTACAGCTGAAAAGTTATCCTATAAGTTGAAATAAATAAATTTTAGTGAATAAAGATAATTCTCTTTTACATTTGTTTTTCACTACAGCAAAAAGAGCAGCCTGAACATACTTCAAAACTACTCTTTTTCACTTCTACAGCTGAAAGTCAAAACAGACTTGAAAAAAGCACAAAAAAACATGAAGGTTAGTAAATGATGACAGAATAATCATTTTTAGGGCTGAATCATCTCTGAATCTCATTTTAGGGGTCAGTCATGCAGTAATCCGGGTAATTCCAAAATCTTCATTAAGCAATACATCACCATTTCCGACCTAACGAATGCAATTCTGCTGATCTTCGTGACACTCGTGCAATACCTGCGCGGACAAAAGTGTAAGCACAGAGGGCATGAGTGTGTGTGTGTTCTCTCCGGGCAGGTCTGCGGGTGTAGTATATGAGGACGCTGGGCCGTCCTGACACATTGAAGGCTGGCTTTAATGCGCATGCTGCTTTTACGCAGGAACTTTATAGGGAAAGCGCTCAATTCATTAAACACAGAGCCACTCAAGGGTGTCTCCTCGGCCCGCACCTTTGAACCCTCATTTGCGCTGTCAGCCGCAGAAATTAGTCGATGAATCTTGTGCCCTGGCACTTAATTAAACTATCTGTTATATTTCCTCCACGTGGCATTAATCTCACAATGGGGGGGGAAGTAAGGGGGGATTAGGCATTCACTATTTCATCAGCTCATTGTTGCT